CAAGTTTACTAGAATTGATGGAAAGTTTGGCTTTCCTGTTGGCCAGGGTAGCCTGAGAGTTCAGTTGAGGTGTTTACTTCCATATTCTTTTTACATAAATATGAAAAAAATCATTTAAAAGTTAAAAACAGTATTATATATAATAATTTGAATATTTTTAATTATTTTTCTCCTATTAATTTCCACTAAAGTAAACATCCATGTTATTCTATTTACCCTTAAATAGCTGCCCTTAGTCAAAATTAGCGTAAAATCGAGTTGGTTCGATGGTCTAGTCGGTCATGGCATCTGCTTAACACGCAGAACGTCCCCAGTTCGATCCTGGGTCGAATCATTTTTTCATACTTGTTTTTTTTCTTTTTTTTTCTTTTTTTTTGTTTGGAATATTTTAATATATTTCTTATTAAGTATAAAAGTTTAAATTCTGTGATTTAAGGGAGGGAAATAGGGAAAGCAATATGTTTTTATTATTATTATTATTATTGTAGACAAAAAAAAAAAAAAAAAAAAAAAAAGGGGGAGGTGTGTGATGGGGGCGAAAGGGCGGCTGACAGATTTAGATGGCAATAAAGAAAAATAAAAACCAAAATTTAAAATTTAAATTTAAAATTTAAAATTCAAAATACAAAAAAACAAAAACAAAAACAAAAAAAAAAAAAACAAAAAAAAAAAAAAAATTATTTTTATTGCAAATAATTATACATATGGTTAAGTTTGCTATGATATAAAATTATTATAAAAGAGCAAGAATAACTATAAAAGTCTATTGATATATTTTATTGTGAAGTAATTAGAAATCACCTCCTATATTAGAATAGATTAGAAATAAATAATCTCTGTGTATTGAAAGAAACCTGGAAACCAAGGGTATGTAAAGAAATGAAATTTTTCAAATAAATGGGTAACTTAAACTTTTTTTTTTTTTTTCAACGACTTTTTTTTTCACTTTCTCTCCTTACAATCTAATTTTTTTTTTTTGTTAATCCCAAGTATAGTATTTCCCCTCGAAATTATTTGTCCAATAATAATATAAAGCAAATTGTTATTAGATTTATTTATTATCATTTCAACGTTTAAGACAATTTGTAAAAGAAAAAAAAAAAGGTTTTTCATTTTTTTTTTGGCCACCAACTGATGATTGAATCAATTTGATTTTTAAGCCTATGACTTCATCAATTAAAAACATTTATTATAAAGTCAAAAAAGAAAAAAGAAAAAAGAAAAAAGAAAAAAGAAAAAAAAACAAATGATGATTTAATAATCTTTAAAATTCCTTTTTTCTTCTTTCTTTTTTTTTTTCTATTATTTCATCATACCAAAAAAAAAAAAAACTGGTCCAATGTATGAGGTAAAATATACTTTGTAAACATGAAGATGATTATTCATTATTTCTTCCTTCTCTCTTGTATAAAATTAACTTGTAAGGCACGTTCACTTATAACAACAATAAAGTGTGTGCGCACAAAAAAGAAAAATGATTGTTAATATTGATAATATTGATAATATTGATAATATTGATAATTAGTTTTTAGTTTTCCTATAGAAATAAAAATATAAATAAAACAAAAAAGAAATAAAGGTTGTTGTTGTTGTTGTTGATATGACCCATATATATATACACATTGTTATTCACGTAAGAATATATTTCTACATAGTTTTTTGCTAGCTATTTTTATGCTTTTTAAAAAGGATAAAAATTTGATGAAAATTGTAACGTGACAAAGAATATTGTTTGTATCATGCTTTAAAAAAAAATCTAAGACTTTCTTTCTTTCTTTCTTTCTAATGATAATACCAGTATTTATATAGAAAATCACAAAAGGGATTAAAAGAAAGACATTAAATAGCTGAGTTTTAAAAAAATATATATATCGTTTGTTTATTTATTTATTTATTTATTCTTTTACCTTAATTAAATCGGAATTAACTTAAAGCAAGAGAAAAAAATTCCGTCAAATTATTATTATATACACTTTAGTGTCATGTTGGTCATTCCTCGGGACAACTATTTAAGCGTATTAAAAGGGATAGATAGATAAATAAATAAATAAATATATATAGTTTTTGTTTTGATTTGATTTGATTTGATTTGATTATTTGATTTTTTCAACCAAGCCTATTTCTTCCAAGAGATTATATAAATATGAAAGGTGGTCACCAACAACAACTATATATAGTTATCCATATATACTCTACTGGTTACTTTTTTCGGAATTTTGAGATTCCACCTTTTTAGGAAGGAAAGATATTTTTGTCTTACGAAAGGAACGGGAAAGCCAAAAAAAAAAAAGAGAGAGAGAAATTCTTATTTTTTTTTTTTTAAAGGTTGCAATGAAAGATACTTTTATCAAGTCTTGAAAAGAAAAAAATAAAAAAAAATAAGGTTAATAACTTAAGAGGAAGAAGACGAGAAAAAAAAAAAAAAAGGAAACGGATTAAAAGTAGAATGAAAAAAATGAAATGAAAATAACCGAGTTGAAAAAAAAAAAAAAAGTCAAGTGGCTTTAATATAGAAAACCAACTAAGACGTTATAATAAAGTGAAGAAGACATACTGAGGAGGTTGGTAAATGATGATTATTTTTTTTTATTATGATTTTTATTATTATTATTATTATTATTAACAAAAAAAAAAATCAAATGAGAAGAATTTCTTTGTCTTTTGATGAAAGAAACAAAAGTAGAGGAACTCGTTAAAAAAAAAAAAAAAAAGAAAAAAAAAAAAAACATTACAGCAGGCAGTTAAGTCACACGTAATTAGCCTTGGTTTGATTTGGTTTGGTTTTTATGTGATATATATAAAATAAAATAAAAACCACAAAAAGGTTCCTTGTTTAAGTTTGGAAAGATTTCGAGGTTAATTGGAGAGAAATTTAAAATAAATAAAGGGAAAAGAAAAAAAAAAGGTTTAGTAGACAGGTTTGATAATGATGATGATAATGATGATGATGATGATGATGATGATGATGATGATGATGATTATGATATTGATGAAATACAACAACGTATAATATTATGATAACCTTTTTTTTTAATCATTGTTTTAAAAGCTTTAAAGACGTAAATATTAATAATTGTTTAAAAAAAGAAATAATATAAAAAGAAAGATTCATATAGCCACGTCTTAAATATAAATTGTATATATTAGAAAACACGCACTTTTTGTTATTACTACGAATGAAGATATATTTTTTTAATATTCTGGTAAGGTTATGATGATGATGATGTAGAAATACGTCCAGGAATTTCAACTGTTGGAAAATATACTTTTTTTTTTGTTTTTTTTTTTTTTTTTTGGCATACAACCATGGATTGACAAAAAAAAACAAAAACCTTGATTCCCGTTTTTTTTTTTTTTTATTTTATTTTTTTGGGTTCAAAAAAAAAAAAAAAAAAAAATTGTCGATCATTTCTCTTATCAATTGATATATATATATACAAAGTTTAAAATATCTTAAATTTTTATTCAAGTTGCTCTTTGAAAACAATTCTTCTTGTTTTTCATTTTTTTTTTTTTTTAATAAATTTGTCTTTAGTTTCTATATATATTTCTTTATTACAAAGAAAGATTTTTTTGTTTCTTCTAATGTTGAGTTTCTCTTAAAGGAAATTTAAAAAAAATAAAAAAAAAAATAAAAAGTGCACCTGTGAAAGTAGTCATTGGCAAAAGGAAAATTGTGGGATGTTTACTTACAATTTGTGGAGTGTTTGTTGTTTGTTTAATATTTGATGATGATGATGATGATGATGATGATGATGATGATGATGATGATATATGGACCCAATTATTTTTAACGTACTCGTCCATCTCACCTCTTCAAAAAAAAAATAAAAATAAAAATAAAAATAAAAACCCTCGCGCGATTTTTTTTATATAATGGACAAGCACTTTTTTGTTTTAAGAAAGTTTCTTGTCATTATTATTATCATTAATATTTATTTACACGTCCGATTTTTGTGCGCCACCAAATCCTGGAGATCAAGTAAACGTAGAACTTAGTTTAAAGCTTTTTTGTTTTATTTTTTTTGTTACTATCGTCATCATCAAAATAATAAGATGAAAATATATTTGAATCTCCCCTCCTATCAATTTTAACAATTTTTTTTTTTTTTTTTTAAGTTCATTTTTTTTTTATATTCATACAAAACAAAACACTAAAAATATACTAAATAAATTTTTTTATTAATAAAAAAAAAAGAAAAAAACTTTTGACTTTTTTTTTTTTTTTTTTTTTGTAACCAAATAAGTGACTATTGTGCAAGAGATCGTTATGTGCTTATGGGTAAGACAAGAAACATTTTAAAGGTCAAGCAGAGAAAGAAAGAAAAAGGACATGGATTTTTTTTATTTTATTTTTCAATAAGTAAAAAGATTTTGTAAAGACACCAAAAAAAAAAAAGGAATTAAAAGAAAGACACGAAAAAAAAGGAATTAAATGATGATAAAAAAAAAAAAAAGAGAACCCAGGCAAAAAAAAAAATATTCGTAAAATACAATTGACGAAAATAAAATTGCAATAAAAACAATAACAATAAAAAAAAACAGTAATGGCAATGACAAATATGGTAGTGATGAAAAGTAACTCAGAGAATGATGCTGCTGAGACTATGGATGAATAAAGGGGTATATGGAATTGTCGAGTGATTTCTTTTTCTTTTTCTTTTTTCTCGCAAATCTGATTCTTCTTCTTATTCTTTTTATTCTTTTTTCTCTTCTCTGAAAAGATTAAATTAGAAAAAAAAAATGAAATAATTAAAAAAAAAAAAAAGGGGGGAGAAGGAAAAAACAAATCATAAACAGAAAATCAGTTTAAGAATGTATCAGTGTATCAACATGAAAGTCGAGAAAGAGAAAGTGCGATAATAAATAAAATAAAAAAAAGCATTGTGTAAAAGTCCCGACAATTCCATCATGAAAAAATGCACATATTTTTTTTTTTTTTTTCAATTCAAAAGAATAAACTTTTTTCTTTTCTTTCTTTTCTTCATCGTCTTTTTTTTTTAATGTGTCGAATGACCTCTATGATATTTAAGACCATTGAGATTCTTATATCGCTTACCACAAACCTCACATCGATATGGCTTATCCTTTTCAAGTTCAACACCCTCTGGGTAAGGTGCATTGGATAATGGATCAATGACTGAGTATGTTCCGTCGTCATTGAGATGCAGTGTCTGGTTCTGATGGCCATGCAGCCGGTGGTACTTGAGACCATTTTGATTCTTGTATGTCTTGTCGCAGCCAATAACTGGGCACTTGAATGGCTTGTGTTCACCACGCTCCATCACGTAGAGATGTCGAGCAGGATCATCAATGCACATTTCCTCATCATCGTCTTCATCCATTGCCATTGGGGTGCCTGCGTTAGAGGATGCTGGTGAAACAAATACTTCGTTTGTAGACACGGCTTCGGCTGTTTGGACGCGTCGCATAATGGGACCATGTTCTATTGGTGGAGAAGGTGAAATGTGTGCTTCTTCATAGTGCCTTAGTAGGTCATGGAGAGTCGGTAGTATCAGACCGCAACAGCTATAATCTTTGCAGAAATCAGCTTCGAGGTTTGGCAGGTATGACGACGAATGGACTGGCGACATACTAACTGGAGGTGGCGGGGCGTTGTGGAACATGACGCTAAAAAAAAAAATTACACAAGCATTAGCAGCGTGCTTACAAATAAAATTTCAGTGGTTTAAACAAGGAATCCGATGGGAAACAATGCATCGTGTCCAAAAAGGGTAATTTTGTCAAGAAGGGGGGAGGGAGGCAAGATTGGGTTGCTGGCGGGTATGGGAAAGAGTCAGAGGGAATTATATAAATATAAAAATAGAGAGAGAGAAAAAAAAAATTAACTAAAGGTTGAACATAATGGTATTTGGTGATATAAGTGGCAAAGGCAATAATGGTATAGATATATATATATAAATTGGTGGAGTTGAACAAGACCCAGTCAAGGTGGCAACAAAGAGATGAAGGCCCTGTGGAACAAAAAGAAAGCCTTGTGGAAATAGCGGCATAATAATAATACAAACGCCGACCCATTTTGTAAAAATTAAAAAAAAAAAAATCGCAAACGGTGGAGGAGGAGGAGGAGGAGGAGGCTGTTTCTGTTTATAATAGTAGGGGAAAAAAATATAAAAAATAAGTCACACTTACTCATCACGAAGCCAGGAGCCGACAGAAACACCACCCCAGCTGATACCACCCATACCCTGAGAATGGGCCATGGACTCACGTCGAAACCGCTGTTGGGGTGGTGCAAAGTTTGCCGAGAGATTAAACTGGTTATTTGTGCGTTGATATGAAATGTCTATTGGTGCTGCTGAGTTCATCAT